CGTTCTCAGCGATACATCCATCCAATTCTGGAACCACTAGTAAGGCGCCATCGAATGATGTTTCTTACATCAATTCGGCCTTGACCATCACAGGCGCTACAGCCATAACTACTATCGCATCCACTTCACCGGGTTCCAGCAGTGCGGGAGTGAATTCAGTTTCGTCCGGTCTCAGTTGCATTTCCAGAGCCTCTCGCTTGGCTTCCTTGCCTCTGCCTCCACAGGCCGGTTTGCCTTCCACTCCTAAAGTCGCCTCCACTAACGGATTCTCATCTGGGTCGTTTGGATTCGAAGGTTTGTGATTTTTCTCTATTGCAAATTATCTTTCATCCATTCACATTTTTATTCTTTCTAAATGCCTTAAAATGATTTTATGAATTCTAGCTTGCATGACCGAGGATATCATAAGTATATAGCTATCAAATGCCACTGAAGATGACTTCAAGTTCTTCTAGAAATAAGTGGGCATAAAAAAATTCGTTTTAACTTTGAAAACGCAATCTTTTTTGTTCCCTTTCCCCCCAAATGTCAACTGCAAACAAGTGTGTCTGTTTTTCCTATTTCTTTTCCCGATGAATTCTGCTCCTGCTTTCTTTATCTTCCATCCTGTATACGTTGTTTTTGATGCAAATTTTTTGGGATATCGCCTATCCTCAATTTGGAGAGATAAAATCATTCTTAAAATCTATGGGATGAAGGGAGGATGTCTGACGACTACTGAGCAATCAGCCTACTCTGGGTGACTGGAAATCTCTATCAAGACGATCCTGTTCAAGAGAATAAGACCTTACCTTCATTCTGTCGTCTCATAATCTTGATTTATTTTTTGATCGGCCACTTTGGCATAGGCAACCAGCACTACCAAACTCATAATGATCGTTTTGGTCTACCAAAATTCTTTTCTTTCGGTCTAAGGCTGCTTCTGGACAATTTCGATAAGATTAGTTCGAAGGTTTTTCTCCTAAGCGGCTTTACTCGACTACTGAATGCGTCAGGGATTTATACATTTGCAGAATAGTGAAGGAACCTCTTCCGAATTTTATTTTTTATCTAATAGTTTTTTTCTATCCTTTAATATAAATCAGACATACCTCAACACGATTCACTTACGCCGTCATCAGATGACACATTACGCCATGATACATTATGAATTTTCCTAAATAATGGCAAATCTTTATGCTGCATGATATGTAGGTGCTTTCATAGTCCTGCAGTTCAGATCTATCTTTGGCAAGCCTCCCATTTAGCAAGCTGAAAATAATGCCTAAATGAGTATACATCTTTTCAGCTGAGATGTAAATATCTTTCTACGGGGCAACCAGCGCAAAATATGCACTATAATGAGGGATGGCAGGGTCGAACTCGGCTAAGGCTAAACTTACTTTGGAGATCTTTCCTAGTGTTGCGCCCGTCACTATTTTATTTACCTTTTATTCATGCATCATTTTAAATGGGTACTTTATCAAGCTTGGGTACTTCTCACCTGCATTCACATTTGTATCCTTACTGAAGCTAGCCTTTTAATACAATTAATCAGCGTGACACTTTAATATTGATATTTCTCTTTTTTCATACTTTTTCGTTTGCCTGCCAAAAATTTTTATTATCATTGTCCACCATTCCCAACATTGACTACCTAGATACTTATGTATATATTTCCTTTTGCTAGTTGTATCATGATTGCCATACGTTAACGAATTACATTTATATGCGTTCTTGATTTAGTTACCTATTATTACTTAATTAATCTATAACTTTGAGATAATACGTCTCGGAATATTTATAAATGTTCAAACCTTATGAACATTAGATCCACAATAAGGTTTTCAGCATAATCCCCTCGTTTTAATAAGGATGGACATTAACCAAGGTATATCTCTTTTATACACCTCTACTACCGTAGTCATACTTTCTTGTATAGCCTTTTTACACTCATTTGTTGGTAGACTTCCCTATAAGTCAAAGATCTAGTTTCTATCAAAATCGATATTTTGCTCTTAGGTACTTCTTTTTGTTGTAGGTTTCCAGACGACCGCTGTCAGTGCTACGTCGGCGGCGATGGGCACTGGTCCACTCTCATGCCAACCACTACAGCTTATAAGTCCCGGTCGATTTTCCATTGGGAACTGTGGGAACGCTACGGCAGCTCCTAGTAGCAGTAACGCCAATGCTCTCTCACTTGCAGGGTCATCTATCCCATCTAGTGCTGCGAGTCCAAGTAATCTAATTGGCACTAGTATTGGCAACAACATTTGTGCTAATGGTACCAGTGGCAATAATAATTCACATCGCCTCCACCTGCCTCCCGGTCTTGGTATCGGTCTCCCATCTTCTGCTGGGCTTACTCGACCTCCTCCATCTCCAATTCTCAATCAGCTTGGTTTGTCACCACCTAGTTTAGGCATAAGCCTGGCTGGAATTGGAATGCCCGGGCAGTCGTCGATACCCTCTTTGCTCTCATCAGCTAGCAGACTACCCTTGGGACAATTGGGCTCTGTCACCGCTTCTGCAGTTTGCCCTCAACCTCCGCAGCAACTTGCGGGTGGCATTATCCAATCTTCATCAGGAGCTTCAGGACCACAGGGCCCTTCATCTGGCCTTCCACCTGGGGCCATGGCTGCTGCAATAGCAGCCGCCTCTATCGCCAATATGCCTTCTTCGTCCACCTCTGCTCCAATTGCTTCACCCCAGACTGGTCTAGGTCCAACGGGAATGTCAAGCCTGGCTGGACTTAGTCGTCTAGTACCACAAATGCCACCGCCACTGCCTCATCCCTCTAATTTGAGGGGGCCTGTTTCTCCGGGTTCAGCTCAAGCCTTGGCGGCCAGTATGCTTGCCGGTCTGTCTCCGTCAGCGCCCCCACCACATAGTCATCTGGGTCAACTACCAGCTTCGCCGTCGTTGCAGGCTTCGCATCCTCAGCACTTAATGGTTCAGCAGCAGCAACAGCTTGGCCAGATTCAGTATCCTATGCCAAACGCTCATGGGAATGTCCCTGGGCTACCACCACCACCCTCAGCTTCCATTGGCCTGCCTCATCCTCATCTCCAACATCAAACTAGCCAACAGCAGCCTCAACAGCACGGTCATTCTCGCCATCATCACCACTCTACGCAGCAACAACAAGCACAGCAGCAGCAGTCTCAACAACAGTTGCCCCAGACATCTCATCAATTGCAACACCCCGGTTCTGCTTTATTAGGTGGTCAGACGCAATCATCAGGTCTCACTTCCTCTGGTAGATTTATTATTCTACCGAATTATTGTATTTTTCATTTAATACTTAGGGCTAACAGAGAATTATGAATTATTTTCGCTTTATTTCCATTCTTCACACTAATACACCTTTTTGCACATCGCTATTAATGATATATTTGTCCCACTACTTCCTTTTAGGACACTTTATCATGTATCCAGGATAAATCTTGTCTTCCTATTATTCACTTCGTACCTGAACCATCAACTGGGTTAGTTAATGAAGTTGTTTGACCTTTTTTTTGCAACTTGTCCATATTTGTAAGAACATCTAGAGGAACGCGCCTAGTCCAGAGTCCATAGTATGTATGATAATTTGCAGTCGGACCGGGGACGTTGTACATTCCTAGACGCTTGGCCGGCATCTTCAATGAGCCTTGCTATTTTTAGCAACACACTACAACTCGCCAAAGAGACGAGAGAAGCTGATCCTTTGACTAATTGTCTGCTAAACAATTGTGGTATCTCTCCTTCCCTGGGCTATTCACCAATTCTATATCTTCGTATCACCCCTTCATTACCACAATTTCTTATTTAAATGTGGCATGGTATGTTCTTTTTTTAGTGGATCTCATGAGAACTCTTAAAGCTTAATGCTGGCTTTCTCACCCCCTCATTCCGCAATCCTCTTTTCATAGGTCTTATCATAGGATCCTTCTACCTTCCTGGTTTAGGTATTTCACTTGACTCCTGCCACCCTTTCTGTAATACTCGCAGCGTTATTTTCCACATTGTCTCAGGTCTTTGATAGCGCGCATACTACCGCCTCGCTGAGTAGACCACTAAAAATCAGGATTCTCAAACTGGATGGGAGGCTAAAGAGCCCGGGTAATTTTCATGGTCAAGTCTTTGCTTCATGAACCACGTCTATGATAAAATACATCCACTGTTAGCCAACTAGTTCGTCTTCGCCGCATCCATCGTGGCTCCTCTATGACTTTCTATGCCCTAGTCTCTTATGTGCTAACCCACAAATGTTGTGGTTCTACTTGTTTTGATTAGGTTCAATGTAGAACCACATCATTTGTGGATTGGCACATAAGAGACTAGGGCATGATAAGTCATAGACTTAGTATTATGAATAAAAACAGGATAGATGCGGTGAAGACTAGAGCTAGTTGGCTAACACTAAACCTATTTGCTCATAGACGTGGTCCATGAAGTAAAGGCTTGACTATGAGAATTACTCGCGATCTTTAGTCTCAAGTTAATTTCCAATCCAGACTTTGTCGTCCTACTCAGCAAGGCGGGAAGTCAAGTGCAGTCAAAGGCTTGAAACAGTATAGAAAATAACGCTACGAGTAGTACATAAGGGTTGGCAGAGGTCGAGTGAAATACCTAAACCAGGAAGGTAGGAGGTGAATCCTATGGGACAAGAGGATGACTGATAAGACCTATGAAAAGAGTATTTCGGGGTGAGGAGATAAGAAAGCCAGCATGTGGTCTGGAGAGTTCTCATGAGGTCCGCTAAAAACGGCATACTATGGCACACTTAAATAAGAATTTGTGATAGTGGGGGGTGATACGAAGATATAGGATTGGTGAATAGCCCAGGTCAGATGGAGAGATGCCATAATTGTTTAGTAGACAATCGGTCAAAGGATCGGCTTCACTTGTCTCTGACGAGTTTTAATTTGCTGCTAAGAATGACAAAGCTCATTTACGATGCCGGCGAAGCGTCTGAGAATGTACCACGACCCCGGTCCGACTGCAAATTATCATACATACTATGGACTCCGGACTAGGTGCATTCCTCTAGGTCTTCCTACTAATATGAACAAATTGCCAAAAAAGGTCAAACAACTTCTATACAATAAAAGGCCACACTATCTTGATCCTCATAACTTGGGTTAGGGATTATTCAATCTCGAATAAACGACCTTATATTTTGCAAGAAATTGCATATGATATTTGCTCACCGTTTTTTGTATATGAGGATTTGATCTACCTGGATTCAGGCTCAGAGAATTCTGCTTGTTTCCTCACCACACCATTTTTTTATTCGTGAAGAGTCTTCATCTTTGACGAAAATAGATAACATGAAAGCCTGGTAAATGCTCCTCTCATTACTATTTTGTGATTTTTAATTTCCCTTTCTTTCAGTGGTTACGCCTTTTAGCGTCGGTGTGCCTACAAGAAGTCAACTTTTAGAGGACTTCCGCAGTTCCAATCCTCGCTTTACCAACGTCCAGCTATCTGAGCTTCGTGACCATATGGTTGAGTTTGCGCGAGATCAGCATGGCTCTCGTTTCATTCAACAGAAACTAGAGACCGCTACACCAGCCGAAAAGCAGACAGTGTTTGCAGAGATCTTGCCGCAAGCCGGAAAACTGATGACCGATGTATTTGGGAACTATGTTATTCAGAAATTCTTTGAATTCGGCACCAAGGAGCAGAAGGAGGTAGGGGCTTTACTGAAAATTACTGGATGGGACTATTTTTGTTGCTTGTGAATTTATTTGGACTTTTCTTTTAATACAAAGTAATGCCGTATTTTCTTAGCAGAAATCACATTACTCCTAAGTTTTGTATTTTCAATCTATTCTATTCTCTATTCATGTTTACCTATTTTTACTATTGTTTTGTCCTTTACCTAATGTTTTCACCAAATTGCTCTTGTTTTGTTAATAACTGGGCTGGTTCAGCTTTTTAATTCAACCCAAAATCCCAAACAAGAGAGAGGATGGTTGGTCATAATAAAAGTGGCTTAAAGACAAACTATCAGCGCTGCTTTTCTGCTAGGCCCATAGGTAGATTAATGTAAATCAGTATAATATGAGATGAACCCTCGAATGTTTTGGCTAGTATGATAATTAGAGCTAGTATTCGTACATGGCTAAGAATATGGAGCTGGGGCTAAGCAGCTATGATTTAATAAACATGCTCAAGCAAGTTTTCTAGCTCTAAGGAGGAGTAGCTATGTAAATACTATGCAGACTTTTTAAAATATTAGGATAAGAAACAGGATGGTGCTTGGGACTGAGAAAGGCCGGGAAGTAATTATATATAATATATCATGGAAAGAGAGTAAACTTTAAATTCGTGTTTATACATGTGCATTTGTACTTTAATATGTACACGCATATTTGAGAAAGATGATAAAACGTCCTGTGACAAGATATTTGTCGGGAAATTAAGTTTTAATGCGATAAAATAAAATGTGTCATATATGTGAATATCAAAATGGTGTGGCTTTTTGTCTGATCTCAATCTCCCTTAGCTGTATAGTATCGGTTTAAGCTGGTCGGAGCGACTGGGAGAGTGTAAAGCTTACCTAGTCCTGCATTATCTGCCATGGTATTCATGATGATTTCAAGATTTGGACCATTGACTTGCTACATTGCTGAACATTTCGCCAAATTTATGCACTTATGCTTTTTGGTCGTAGGAGAATGACAATTTGCATAGCTCCAATACAATTATCAACTTTCAGTTTGAAAGATGAATTGAAGTTATTACCAATATGGTCCTCTACCCAATGCGACGTCTTGAATTTGCTTATTTGCCACATTATTTTCTTATATTTTGTTTGCATGCTTTTTTACGTTCAGCTGTTGTCCACTCAGCTCACTGGCCACGTCGTTGAGTTCGCCACCCAAATGTATGGCTGCCGTGTTATCCAAAAGGCCCTTGAGGCGGTCCAGGCAGAGGCAAAGATCCGCATTGTCAGCGAACTGAAGCCATTCGTCACTCGCTGTGTCAAGGACCAAAATGGTAATCATGTCATACAGAAATGCATCGAATGTGTTGACCCCTGTGAACTGGACTTCATAATTGCTGCTTTTCGTGGCCAGGTATGCTCTTTTTTAGCTTATACTTAATCTACTTTTGCTATCCTTAATTTTAAAGCGATTCTTATTTGGGTTTATTTCGTTTCTTATAAATTCAAATCTATACCTTGAATAATGGTAATTTAATTGTCCTCTTTCATGTGGAATTTTTCGATAAATGTACCCCTATGACAGCTTTATGTCTTAGCTGAATTTAGGTAATAAGTCGCCACTTCCGAAAGGTGTAATTGTAAGTAATAAACTATTTTGGCTCAAAGAGATTGTTATTTTTTTTAATTGCGACTTAAACCATCTTTTTTAAAAATTCGTGTTAGGTTGCAATGTTGTCGGCTCATCCCTATGGCTGCCGGGTTATCCAACGCATTCTTGAACATTGTCTGCCAGAGCAAACTCGTTCGATTCTTGATGAACTTCATCAGGGTGTGGAACAATTGGTCAAGGATCAGTATGGAAATTATGTGGTTCAAGTATATCTCTTAAGCTTGTATTATCCTTTAATCTTATTTATTATGGAATTTTAATCACTTTCAATCAGCCCTCAATATTTTCCACTTAGCTCAAAAGTTATTTTGTGCCTTACCATTATTAAGCTTTAAAATATATTCGAACCCATTAGTTTTATTTGATGCCAGCCGGTTTGAAATTCCAGAGATTTTTTCTTAAAATTATAACCTGTATATGGCATAATACTAACAACGATTAATTTTACAGCTAAGATTTGATTCTCACATCTTGTATTTATCCCTCGTTGATCCTAAATAGTTTTGTAGTCTACTTCATAAGTGAGTTAAACAGTTCCAGACTCCGGGTAAAGTATGCTTAATGAATGCAGATGTTGGAGGGTTGTCTGTCAAGCTTGAACCTTGGGCAGAGTTGAATCAGTT